TTTTTTCTTCTCTTTTTTTTTCATAATCAAAATTAAAAAAAAAAAAAAAAACAACAAAAAAAAAAAAAAAAAAAAAAAAAAAAAAAAAAAAAAAAAAAAAAAAAGTTGATAGGATCGTATATATGTGCGCATGTACGGATTACAAAATATTATTTCTCGACGAGAAATAAGGATGAGTGATTCACCTGCTTTTCGAGCTGTTAGTCACATACCTACTATGCAAAATTTACCTACCTATGCGGCGAAGCAACGTCAGATTTAGCATCGTGACTCTTGAGTTTACCTGAGCATGTAGATGAATTTATTAATTTACCTAAGGTATTCATCTCTATCCCAATCCTAATGTTTTATTAGTCGAGGGGTGGTGATTCGTAATATGTAATTACCTAGCATTAGGGGTTTTATAAACGGTACCTAACTAAAGTTAGGTGAGGCATGAGGTATTGTACCTGTATTTTACTACTTGTACGGATTTGCTAATTTGTCAAGGTTTACTAGGTACCTTACTTTGCCTTTTTGCCAGGTATGTATTTGGAAATGACCCCAAATCTGCGCGGCGACTTTTATTTTATTTCGCGCCCACCAGCAATTGAAGTTGCACCCAAGCTAACGGAAGGTACCTACACCTACAGCCTACGGTTTACCTGCATGTATATTTCCATGTATGTACATGAGGTATCCACAACCGACTGCGGCGATTCAAGACTTTCAAGTCCCTCTTACGATACCACGTACCGAAGTACCTTAGGTACCAAAGTACTTCGGTACCTTCCTTCCAGTTGCGACCCCTCCTCCTCTTGCACTCGGTTTAAGCCATTCAAACACAACCATTTCCCACACATTCAATGTTCATCACCTCCCACCTAACCTATTTGTCTACCTTACCTACCACCTTAGAATACCTCTACGTATTTCTTTCCTTTCCCAACGATCTTCCGCGCGCCCCCATCGCCACTCGTGAAGCCTGTAAGTTTCTTTCTTTCTTTCTTTTTTTTTTATATCTTTTTTTTTCTACTACTGCTTCTCAATTATCCCTAGCACCCATAGCACTACCCATAGCATCCATCATCAGCATTCATAAGCATAAGCATCTTTCCCTCTTCGTTAAATCTGATGGCCAACATCATCGTCCTACGGCGAACTAATTCCGGTGCTTGCAGTAAATCGACCAAGTCGTACCTGAGGTAGTCGAGTCTGAGTCTTTTTTTTCTCAGGCCATCATCCCATACAAGGTGAGTCCACTTTCTTTACTGGTATACACAGTCTCCCGGCCACGTTCGACTGTGGACCGTGAGAGTGGGAGTCGATACTATTTCATTACCATTACCGTTGCCATTGCCATTGCCATTGTAACTGACAGGAAGAAATTACTTCCTTTTACTCATCAAAACCCATCAATCCATTTCCCCATCTACCCATCTGCCCAACTGACTAAACCTACCTGTTTACGAACTCGTCTAAATCTCACCTGCCCACCCCGCCCCTGTTCCCCCTTCCCTACTACAAACCTACCTAGTCCTATCCTTATTTGAAGTAAGGTATACCTAAGGTAGCTCGACCTTAGCTATTGTACTTCGCTGCGGTGGACACTTGAAAGTTTCTTTCAAGTCACGCTTCGTCATTCGACCATTTGCAACCCCGCCAGAATCCCTACCTACATAACCTCCGCCCTCTCGCGATACTAGACCCTTCCATTTTTGTGATTTCACATAGGTCCTAAATAGTTACATTTTAGGGAAATTCTCTCTTCACAAACACTTAGACACTTGTCGTCCTCTACCAGCACACCATACACCTAGGTGTTCTATACCTGTTCTGGGCCTGGTCACATTTCTTATTGGACTGGACCGGCATTTTAACTCAGCGTCGCCTCCTCCATTAGAGCGAGCGATTGACCCACTGGCTTTATTACCTGTCAATTGCGATCGAGAAGCACTACGACTCAATTGCCTGTTGATTTGTCGCCCAACACGGCGTCCCGAAACGCGAGTCAACCGCCCCCCGTCTCTTCCTGCTGACTCTTGAGAGACGCCCTGGATTGTGCCATTTTGCGACCGAATCCGATCCGCCTTCAACCATGGCGCAAAACCGCCCGACAGCGGCTTTCAATACTCTCCGGATGGGAGGTAAGCTTCACCAACCCTTTCCTATCCATTGCATATCTTGAGCGGTGCTGAGATATAAAACAGAAGTCATCCGCGAAAAGGTACAGGATGGAGTGACCGGCGAGACAAGAGACTTGCAATATACGCAGTGCAAAATTGTCGGCAATGGTTCCTTTGGTGTCGTCTTCCAGACGAAGCTTTCCCCGTCCGGCGAAGATGCTGCCATCAAGCGGGTGCTTCAGGATAAAAGATTCAAGGTCAGTCTTACTGTCGAATTGCGGGACACGCACCCCGCTCATCCACTAACGCCTCGCTGCAGAATCGAGAACTCCAAATTATGCGAATTGTTCGACACCCGAATATCGTACAGCTAAAGGCCTTTTATTATTCCAACGGAGAGCGTGTAAGTATACAAACTTGGGCTTAAAATAGGTAGGGGAGCTGACTGGATATGTGTGCAGAAAGACGAGGTATACCTGAATTTGGTACAGGAATTTGTACCAGAGACCGTTTACCGAGCCTCGCGCTTCTTCAACAAAATGAAGTCAACTATGCCGACTCTTGAAGTCAAACTTTATATCTATCAGCTTTTCAGAGCCTTGGCCTACATTCATTCCCAAGGAATTTGCCACCGTGACATCAAGCCACAGAACCTCCTATTGGACCCGAACACCGGCATACTAAAGCTGTGCGATTTCGGAAGTGCAAAAATCTTGGTTGAGAATGAGCCTAATGTTTCATACATATGCTCTAGATATTATCGAGCGCCCGAGCTCATCTTTGGTGCCACTAATTACACAACCAAGATCGGTAAGCATTTTACCTCCCTTACCACCCCCACCCCCCTCTCCCCGGGGGTATTTTAAATCACGACCTCATTGGCTAATGTCGTGTACAGATGTTTGGTCGACGGGCTGTGTTATGGCAGAGTTAATGCTGGGCCAGCCACTGTTCCCCGGAGAATCTGGGATCGATCAGTTGGTAGAGATCATTAAAGTGCTGGGGACTCCAACTCGAGAGCAGATTAGAACTATGAATCCGAACTACATGGAGCATAAATTCCCGCAGATCAAGCCTCACCCGTTCAGTAAGGTGTTCCGTAAGGCAGACGCGAATGCCCTGGACCTGATAGCAAGGTTGCTGGAATATACGCCAACAGAACGCCTGGGTGCGATTGATGCTATGGTGCATCCTTTCTTTGACGAACTTCGGGACCCCAACACCAAACTCCCGGATTCGCGGCACTCAAGCGGTCAATTAAGAGATCTACCAAATCTATTCGACTTCTCGAGGCACGGTGAGTTTGGCTCGTCTATTTACTTGTTTTATTACAGCACTAACCTCATTTGGTAGAATTGTCCATCGCACCACAGCTCAACCAGAAGCTCGTCCCTCCTCATATGAAGTCGATTTTAGCATCCCGCGGTCTCGATATAGATAATTTTACACCTATGGCGAAGTCAGAAATGATGGCCAAGCTAGACTGAATTACCGTCGCTGCTTACGCTCTCGTTTCACGTATGTATGCATCGTCGCCCCGGATTTCGCTACAGCATCCACTCACTAGCTGGGCCTGCAATGGCTTGAACTCGCCGGACCGACGTTTAATTAAATCCGCCGGATTGACAATAGCGATTCCTCGACCCTCTGTGTGCATTTAAAGGGAGGACAATCCAACATATGAGTTAGGAGGGACGGGTTCTCCAGAAGTTTGGTGTGCTGTGGAAGTTTCCAAGGTGTTGATAAGCCTTTGAGCCTCCACTTACTCGGTTCTAGTATCTCGATTGTAGCAACAAGGGACGAGTTCTTCGGTATTAGGCGCACAAACTGGAAGATGGCACGCACCGGACGTTTTTAGACTTCTGCTATGCATGACCGAGACGGCATTTGCTTTTATTTGTCTTGTTCAATAACTCGCTTTATCCTTGTGGTAGGCGGCCACAAGGAGGCTGGATTCCCTCGCGTGGTTTCCCGAGATATTCTCTACACAAGTTAAAGGGGGGGATGAGATGGCGTATGTGTTATTCTATGAGTAGCGGGTGTGTGCAGCGGTGGTGAAATGGTGGCAGGGCGACAAATGGAACATGATGTTGAAACCGGCAAGCCGGCCCAGGGCAGCAATGGCATATTCGGGACTGGGCAAGCTTATGGAGACTCGGCATGACTTCAAAAAATATTTCTTTTTCATTTCTTCCCTACAAGACGGACTTATGCGTGCGTCGAGAAGTGGGGAAATGGTTTACTAAAAAAGGGAGGACCGGGTCTTCTATTCAGACGTCAATGATAGAAGCCAGCTGCGGTTGCGGCACAGCGATGAAGACAACAGCTCTTGGTCCAAGAGAAAGATCAGATGGCACCACTTCGTACGATACTTGATGCGTAAGAAGCTACACAATGACTGTGACCCTTAGAATTACGCTACAATTGTAACAAGCCTCCCCTAGGCGTAACATGAGCCACGCGTTCTGTTGATGGTAAGTGAGTGATACCTTAGCTCACCTAGCTACTAAAATAAGGGAGTAAGTCAGGCGTGAGCCTAGATACTAGGCTAGGTACTTAGCTAGGTACCTAAAGGTAATGCCATAAGAATTGAGATAAAATAGTAAGTATGCTACTTGAATGTGCCTACTATGTAGTTCAGTTCAGATGCCGACCATATGAAGGGTTTGCAAGGATGATGTTGCTGAGGTAGGTAGGAAGAAAGAAGAAAAGTACCTAACCTAAGGCTTCGATTACTTTTGCTGTATAAATACCTATAATTAAGGACTGCAGTGCTCTTATTTAAAGTTGATTATTTTTGGTAGTGAAGCTCTTGCCTATTTGCCTTGGTATTATATAAGCGAAGTAAGCTATTATGTACCTTAGAGGTACATCCTAAGGAGGTAGGTAAGCAGTAGGTATGAAGTAGGCGCATTGCGATAAGATAGGTATGTGAAGGTGAAGGCCCGTGCTTCCCTTTTCCGCGCGTTGCGTGTTTCCACCACGGGAGCATTGAACATTCAACTTTCAACTCGTAGATGCTACTACCTACTACTACTACCACCACCACTACTACATGCTACCCTTGGGTACCTACACCCATTGATCCAATTTTGATGAAGTCGACCCTCCCAATCACGTAACTATCTTTCCATCAATTAAAATTAAAAATGGCGAATCATGATCGTAAAAGGCGTTATAGAGGTATGAAATTGGACTGATAGCTCGAATTAGTATCGTTGCAGTCTCTCATCTGATCATCATAGTCCTAGCCAGGGACATTGCAAGAAAGATTATATACTAACTTATCTATCTAGATGATGACGACTACGATCGCCGACCGCAACGACGTCGCTTCGACGCGCCGCTTCCCGTCCGCATACGCAAGCAGCTCCTAGGCCTAGCTGAATCTCCTTTGCGACGCTGGCACGAAGAAGTTCAATCTGTTGCCCATGTCCTCGCTGACAACTATGAAGATGAAGAGTTGCGTACGAGCTTCTTGGACTTAGTGCTACAAATGCTTATTGAGCAGCCGCTCAAGACCCCGTTCGTGGCAGCTGTAGTACTCGTCGCCAATTCACTGAAGCCCCAAGTATTAAGTGATCTCCTGGCCCGGGTCGCTACTGCCACAGAAGAGAAGGTCAGCGTAGGCGAATGGCGCGATGTGAAGCTATATCTAAAGTTCCTGGCGTGTCTGCAAAGCTCATTGGAGGGCGAAGGCTTGTTTCCATTGCTCGAAGAACTCTTTAGTCGAGCTGTTGACCTGCAGACTGCTAGTTCTGACGACGTGAGTAGATAAATATCACGATCTGTATTTGGTCCATCTATGCTAACAAAATACCCAAAGACGATTGGCACGGAACTCGTGAAGATTATTCTTCTGACGATACCGTATATTATGGCAGCTGCGCCTGCCCAGTGGCAGCAAAAAGCGGCAGAACTGATGGATAAAACAGACGTCATTGCCTCGGAGCCGCATGCCTTGCAGGTGCTGATCGACCCGTACCATGCCGAGGAGGGAGCAGAGAGCCCAACCGCAAATATGAGTCTAATCGGACTTCTACAGAAGCAGCTCCAAACCGAAGCTTTGAACGGCTGGGAGCTTTCTTGTCTTCCAAGACCCTGGCAAATGCCACCCGAAGAAATCGAACAGCAGGAGAAACTAGATAATGCACAGAAGCACAGCTTACCACGCATATCCATTCCGGAGAAAGTTGTTGCCGGCCCTCGCCCCCTTTTCCCCGAGATATACTTCTCGGTCTACGTCAACCAGGACGTCGAATCTGTTCCTCCCGTCACTAGTATCGCGTCGTCACTGATTAGGGACGGTCTTCTCGATACTATTAACGTCTTGGACTTTAACCGCGGTGTAACCGCTCGTTTTCTCATAGATGTAGACTGCTATTTTGCTCCTGGCACATTCGTCAAGCGTGCCACCCCCTTCGATCGACTCCGCGATGTAGAAGGAGACCGCTCAACGTGGAAACCGGAAGATGTCGCAGTCGACGCTGTGTTTTCACAATTATTTGCGCTACCCGCGCCAGAGCATAAGCTGGTGTATTACCATTCCGTTCTTACCGAGGCTTGCAAAATTGCTCCCGCAGCAGTCGCCCCCAGTTTGGGTCGAGCCATTCGGTATTCATACCAAAATACCCACCGCCTGGATCTAGAGCTGTGTTACCGGTTCTTAGATTGGTTCACTCACCACCTCAGCAACTTCGGCTTTATGTGGAAATGGACAGAATGGGTAGATGATGTCAACTTGCCTGATATGCACCCCCGTAAAGCGTTCATTCTCGGCGCTTTAGACAAGGAAATCCGCCTAAGCTTCGCCCAGCGGATCAAGGGCACACTGCCTGAGCCTTACCAGACCCTTATTGGGCCTGAAAAGGAGCAAGATACGCCAGAATTTAAGTTTAACGATGATCGTAGGTTAAATTCGTCCTCCGTTTGCCCCCAAAAAGCAACTAATTTTTGAATCCAGACACCCCATTCGCAGCGGAAGGCAGAGAAATCGCAGCTCTTCTCAAACGCAAGGCCCCAGATGAGGAGATACAGCCTATTATCGACCGTATCCACTCTGCTGCCCTCGATCACGCTATCGATCCTCTCGTTTCTAGCACGGATGTTTTCATGACGGCCGTCTGCTGGGTAGGTTCTAAGTCGCTGTCACACGTACTAGCCTGTATCGAGCGTACGAAAGACAGGCTTCTCGATTCTGGGGCTGCCTCGGAAGCGGCCAGGGCACAAATTATTACTGCGGTAGTTTCCTACTGGTCCGCTCACCCGGGTGTTGCGATCACCATTATTGAAAAGCTACTGAATTATTCGATCATTACGCCTAGCGCCGTTATTGACTGGGCATTGGCTGGCGATCGCGCAGGTCCATATGGTCAAGCACTCAGCAAGTCTTGGGTGTTTGAACTAGTGTTTAATACCGTAGTCAAAGTGACTAGCCGCCTCAGACAGGTTGTGAACAGCGGCTCGAACGAGATTACCGAAGAGGAAGTGGCTAATATGCGTGAGCTCTTCAAAAATATGGAAGATGCCTTGATCAGCTGGGCACAAGGAACCAAAGATCAGATTATGGACCCCGTTGTATCGGACGGCGGGGAGGATATCATTAAACGCTGGGGTGAGAGGTGGCTCAGGGTATTCAGGCGACGATCTGCTATCGAAGAGACGTTCTTACTGGAACATAAAACGGTTTCGTAAGGTGAGCTGGAAGATCGATAATATAATGAGGTTTTGGAGTCATGGGAATGTAGCATTAACAAAAAAAGGCATGTGGACTTGATAGCTTTTTTCTCGTGCATTCGGGCTTAGTCCTATACAAAATTAGATTAATGAAAATCAAGCCTTGGCCTCACCTGCAAAAAAAAATCGTGCTCCGAGCTAATAATCAGCAAGTCGGTTTTCGATTTAAACTACTATAAAATAACTGGACACATTATTATATATAGTAGGCTTCTTGGTGAAGTTATATTAGTATAATGTACAGGGAAAGGGGTCGATCGAGGGTATCTTAGGCTGAGCCTTTTTCTATGTTGATAGACATTGAAGGGCCTTTTTTTTTTTAAAAAAAAAAAAAAAAAAAACAGTCCTAGACCTGTTATGACTAGGTCGGCCGCTGAGGTAAGTAGAACTTGACATTTTCGTACACGAGAAACGTAACCCAGGTGGCAGGGAGGACTCTTACGACCCCAGGTATGATGCCACGGTAGAAACCTCGCCATCCTTCCTCCGCCCACGTCCTTCTCACAACTCCTTTGATGCCCCTTCCGAACCTCACATCGGCATCGTAGTTCTGCAGGCGGCTGCGGATTACTTGGTAGGGATAGGTCACGGCGCCGGCAACCAACTTGGCGATGCTGGAGATCACGAGGGTTGCCTCGGTACCCATTTTCCTCTGTCTTGCCGGGTCCTCTGGTTCGCCCAGAGCCGAAAAGGGGCCTCGCCGCGCAAAGTATAGCCTCTTCACCGGGTCATAGACGGCAAATTGCACGGCTCCGTGAACCACGCCGAACAGGCTGATCCCCAAACCGCGGTAGAACCCCTTCCAGCCCTCGCGGCGCAGGATGTGCGCGGCGCCAGCCCGCATGCTCGGGTACGCGCCCGCGGCGGTCCGGTCGGACGACAGCATGCGGGTTTTCATGACCCAGATCGGGTTCGTCAGGACCTGGGTGACCAGGCCGGCCAGGCCCGAGGACAGGAAGTAGTCCCGGGGCGCGAGCGAGGCGCCGGCGCCGTCGCCGTCGGGAGAAGCCTTCAGGGCCAGGATGGCGCGCTCGGCGTTGGATTTGAAGAAGAAAAAGGAGGCCCAGCTGCAGGCATTCCCGAGCATGTTGGGGGCCAGGCCTCGGTAGAGGGACGCGACGGGGTGGGGCGTCTGCGTCAGGGAGCGGATCAACGACATGGTGGTGAGAGGTTGATGAGAGCTCGCGGCAGCGCGCTGGTGGACTATTGTATAGGGGTTAATAGATTTTCATTTTTCAGTATAGGGGTAACTTTACTCTGCATCCGGGTCTTGACGATGTCGAGAGGATGGACGACAAGCGTGGCTATGGACCCGGCGGACAGACCGGCAATGGTCTCGACGGTGGCGGGAGAAAGACCCGCATGATTCTGTGGCATAGATGTAAAGTCTGTATATAAGGCTAAATTACATTATAATAAGTGAAAGTATCGATTTGCTTGAAGAAATATGCTGATATAAGCTTCCTTTTTTTCTTCTTTTTTTTTTTACTATCTTCAAGTGGTGAGATTATGTAATTATATTGACTTACTCATCATGACTTCATTGGTATAATTACCTAATGTAGTTTTATTGTTTCATATGGTACTTTAAACACATATACTGTTAGTAGCGTAACTCGTTATCTGCATTTGAATTGTGAATTGAGAATCACTTCTTTAAACCACTGCACAATGCGCATACTACTCACAATTCAAAAGCTGTCATAAAAGTTGGATATTCACATGCGGTTTAACCCACTTATATTTACTATAACTACCTGGTTCGCTATAGTCCGAATAAAATTTACAATTAATTTCGGACAATTCACTATATAATGTCTACTACCACGGAGTCCGCTCCGGCTCCGGCTCCCGCCCAGGCTGAGGTCTCCAACATATCTATCAACGTTGAGTTCACGTAAGTTTCCCCTCGAGTAATATGTAATTTATGAAAATACAAATATAACCTAGGTACATAGAGATAAAACATATGGATTAATATTATACTGACGAATGGCTTAGAGGCGGCTTGGAGATGCTATTTTCAGATCAGCGTCGCCATTCTATCTCCTTACCAGCTACGAACGGAGATGGCAAGCCGACAACTATCGCCGATTTGATCCATCACCTATGTGAACACACTATGAAGGATGCCCGCAAGGACCTCTTCGTTCTCCAAGATCACCTGTACGTTACTCTTTTGATAGAGACCCCCCACCACCATATCTTCCCTAACAACAGCCACATATTTTATGTGCATCATCTCCCCCTATCAAAACCCATATTTGGGCGAGCTAGCTAATACGTCAACGTAGCCGTCCTGGTATCCTCGTCCTGATCAACGACGCAGACTGGGAACTAGAGGGTGAAGAGGCTTATGAGATACAAGCAGGGGATAATATCCTATTTGTCTCTACGCTGCATGGCGGGTAGTGCCGCATCACTTTCTGTCCCAATACCGAATTACACCGCTATTCGGAAAGCTGAAAGCAGTCGTCACATTCGTCATAAACGCGTCACTTCTTGAGATAGACAGCGATAGACAGGCAATGGACAGACAGCCTTGGGTTAGAAGCCCAGGTAAAAGTCCCAGACTGGTGATTCGACATCTACGACTAGCCTCTCAACAACTCGCCTTAAATTTTATTTACCCCGCCTTCATGCATGTGAGGTGATGCCAGTCACTTCCAACCGGGTCAGGTGCCGTTATGGTGAAATGGTAGAAGGATGTTGCGGCTAACTCGGTTGACATGTCAAGCTTCATGCAATGCCTCCCCACGGTCGGTTGTTCTGGCTGCCTAGTAGAAGCATAAGGCAAAGACCCGGGACCGTGGCATATCGCCATAGTAAACCAGATCTGTCATATTTTTCCCTTTGAACCTAAGTGTTCATCCAGAGCTTTCTTCATGCGTTGATCTATCTGACCACTGTTTCGGGACTTATAACATATGACCCCCGTCTATATCCTGGTCTCGGCGATAGCAGACAACACGTTGCATCGAGGAGTGAATACATAATCGTAAACCTGTCGCCACAGAGAAAAAAGATACTTTTAGCTAAACAAACTTATAGGGGCTTTTCACGCATTGACAACTGGTGTACCTATGGGTTAATAAGATCGATAATCAAAGATGCAAATCATCTTATTCGCTCATCTGCAAGCAAGGGTCCCAAACGAGCTGTTTGCAGAAACCGACAGGCACAGGCAAGGCAAGTGACCCAGATTTATCCATTTGATGAAATGCAGATTTGCTTAACAGGAATTCATGGCCTGCGACCTAAGAGCCTCAGTGCAAGCTGGGCCGACCCGAGAATAGCCACTCCGGCCATCCTATCCTTCCCGCGAGTGAGGCATTTTGTCTTGTTCCCTTGGCACGGAGCGTCACTGATTCGTCAATGGGTACCTCCTAAAGTAAATTATGTTACTCCTGCAGACCGCCTTCACGAGAAAATCATCGCGAGTTACATTGTATTACATATAGGTATTGCAGCTGACATTGTGGCAAAAGAGACAACGCATTTATTCTCTTCCGTGCTTGGAAAGATTGCAGACCGGCGACTTTTAAGGTCTTTGATACCAAGACCCCCCCTGCCTATGATTGATGAATGGATGTATGTATACCTCTTATCGGTATGAATGCCCTGGGCCCTGCCGTGCTGCTATCACATAGGCGCACATCGTATACATGGTAAAATCACCGAAACGGTTCCCGGAAATAATTACGGAACACCGCGTCGCCGGAAAAGAAAAGAAGAAGAATTGCAACGATTCAGAAATAATAGTGACTTAGTAGCCGTTAGATGGCTTTTGAAAATGCCTACCTAGGTACCTAGCTAGGTACGCTATCAAGCAAATATGTCCCATCTCTTTTCTCTTCTCTTCACTTGTCTCCCTTTTCAAGCAAATCAAACAATATACCAATACCAATAAATAATTTCAACCCACCAATAAACTCCGCCCCGGTTTTGCACTCCTGAAAGGTCTAGTAACCTTTTCTGTTGATGCAAAGTTCTGGTATCTCCACCTCGATATCCTATGGGCATTATACAACAACCTATGGGGGGGGGGGGGGGGGGGGGGCGGCGCGCGGGCGCACGGCCGGGCGGCCGGGCCAAGCCACGAACACCAGGA